CCCCAAAACCCCAAAACCCCATGATCTTAAAATTCCATAATTTTATGTTAAATGTAAATCAATAATCGCACTTAATCATAAATTTTACTTGATATATTTTTTATATCATAGTTATTTCATAGGCTTAGTGCTATTTATCTCCAAAAGCAATATGAATCATTGATCATAAAATCTTAGGATATAATCAGTCATCTATTTATTCCAAATCGTCATTAAGCATGTCCAATATCTAAGTCCTCGATGCTTCAAAAGACCTAGCAGACTTTATTGGCAAGTATCTTGTAATTGATGTTCTCTACTTTCTTAATCTTTAAGAGATTTAAAGTTTGTCTATTGTTTATAAATCTTCATTATCACTACTAAGTTCAATCTCACCGAGATTTCCTTAAATTATCTAATCTTTTTAACTAATGAAATATTCGTTATTGATTGCATCCTAAGTTATCGCCTATTTCATCATTTCTATATTAAAGATTTCTTCTGGTTTCATTGCTTCCATTTTCTTAAAATCAACAACTGAGAAAAGTACACTTATCTCACTATATACAAAAATGTAAAGAATTTTAATGAACTTACTGAAGTCTGTCTTGATAATCATCAATAAATTTAGATATTTCATAGGAGCTCATATTTATTCCACTCATATACTTATTCTCAAGCTTATTAGCTTTTTAATCTTACTTGGCTCTGCCTATTGCTTTCTCAAGTAAACTAAGGTTCGTATTGAATAATCTTAGTCTATATTCTTCAAAATCCTAGTCACTCATCTTATACATTGTATCTTCATCATAAAGAACTCTTTTTAGTTTATCCAAGTCTATACTATTTTCTTAATCCGATATATGAGCTAGAAATTCCTCAAATACTGCTTGTGTTAACGACTTCTTTATTTTGTTGAATTTTTCTTAGAGAGCATTTTTCTTTAAAAATTCTTCTGTCATATCTGCAAATTCTTTTTACTCCTCTTAAAACTCTTGATAAATCTCTTGCTGATTAACATCTACTTTATCTTATTAAGTTTCAGCATGGGTTCCATTAGTTTCTAATATTTTCTCTTCCTCCTTTTATTCTTCCTTTTGTTCCTGTATTTATTATCTTATTTATTTGTGTTTAGCTTAATTTCTCTATTCCTGGCTTTTCTACACTAATTTAGCTACTTCAACTTGTATATAATTTCCGATTTTAGTCTTCTATGATTTATACTTATGGACTTTATGTTCAGTTGCTTTCTCCATTTCATATTTTAGATTAATTTACTTCCATTTTTTCCTCAAAATCTTTATTGGAATAACGTTTTTCTTTCCATTCTTTTTTTGTTTTATCGCATCAAGTTCTTTTTCTAATTCATCCCTTTTTTCTCTTATAATATAAGAGAGGGAGAATATTTCCTTTTTACTTATGAATTTCCCGAATTTTTATACTTATTCATCATTAAAGTATTCTTAGACAAACTTATCATAGCTCTTTTTTGTTACATCTTATCTAACTTCGAAATACTTTTTTTGCTGGTCTACTGTTTTGATCTATGGGTTAAGTTATAACTCTTTTTTCTTAAATGTATCTGTTTTTAGATACAATAGCTTCCAAAACTTAATACAGTCTTTCATCATAAGTATTAATATTACTATGATGCCTTATAATAGCCAAATAAAAGCCTTAATAATCGCAAACAAAAATCTGCGCTCACTTTTTATTCTCATGATAAAGATTTTCACATAAACAAATGGAGCAAAAATAATGTTTGAGATGAAGATTATAACGAATAGTATTATCGCAATAGGAAAGTAGATTATTTTTTAAAACAAGTTGTTTATTTTTTAGGTTTTTCTAATGCTTAAATCACCGTTATACCTGTCTATTAACAAGAGTATTGGCATTAATAATACTCCTATTAGATTTAAAGGTGGCTATGAGAAAACAAACAAGCCATACTTTCTATTGAATCTCAAGTAGCTTTCTTCAGTAATTAAGCAAGCATGGTAATCAGCTTCTGTTTTCTATACTATCACTTAATAAATTCCGTTCAACATAGCAACTATCATATTCATTAAGAACAGACTACTGACTGCAACACTTGATAAGAACAGATATCTTCCAAAAAGCTAACTTCTTTCAAATTTGGTAGCATCAAAGTTATTGAAACTGGAGTTTATCAAAGTAATTACAGTCTTGTACTAATCAGTAAAATCTTCATTATCATTATAGAATAATAGAGTGAAGACTTAGCTGCATAGAAAAATCCATCCACCCCAAATTATTATAAAAACCAAAAGCGTTTTAAACATATTGGAAATCATTCTTATATAAACTCCAAAATGCTAAGTTGCAATAGCAAAATTACTAATCCTAATCCAGACAAAAAGCATTATAAGGCAATTAGTAAATAAGTTGAAATTTTTTCTTAAGACATCAACTTCAGAACTAAATTTGTATTTATGCAGATATTCATATTTCTTTGCAAGTTCTGCAACATCGATGGAATTTAAAAACTCTAAAATTAGGATCAAAAGATCAATTATAGTCCCATAAGTTAATCTAAATTTTTTCCCTAAAAGTTTGCTGTAAATAATCACTTGAACATTGAACAAATTAAAACTGGAAATCCAAATAAATGATGCGATATATAACCATTTAATAGTTTAATCTTAGTGAGTATCCTCTAATCCGTTTTTTTGAACAGATAATACCAATATACCTAGTTCAAGTGCAGCAAGAATCAAATATGTAAAACTCAGAAAGGTATAGCGAACAAAGCAGGAATGAGGCCATAGATAATATTGAAATAAGTAAATTCTGTTATCAGTCTTTTTTTTGTAGTCATGAAAATGAAGCAGTTCATTATTTTTTGGGTTTCTAAAAATACTTAACCTTTTTATCTCTTCATAATCATCGTAATCTGTACTTAATATCTTGAAAAATTAGGATGCTTAGAGCAAGCCAAAGTTTTAAGAATTCAGTCCTTACCATTTTTCCTATATTATCAATCCCATTTAATTTGATTCAAGCATTTGATAGTATCGATACTTCGACATGATTTCAAGAGCTGATCTGTCCAAAGTATCCTTCTAGTCAACAAAGAACTTAAGTAAATCTTCTGATTTATTCTCATAAACAAAGCTTCTTCCAAGTTAAAGTAATTTATTTCCAAGGATATCACATTTATTCTGATACTTATATGTCTTTTGCTTTAATTTATCTAGAAATTCCTTCATCAAAACAATCACTATCAATGGTTTCAAGCTGTATATAATCTAATTTGGCTCTTTTAGATGACTATCAAAAGCATTGAGAAGTTCTTTATCCAATTTACTGCTCCAAGAGGAAATAGGCACTCTTGCTAGAAGTTCAATTCCATTATAGACATTAGTTAGCATAATTTTAATGATATTTCTCTAGGATTTTTCATCAGTTAATGCTGAGGCATAATATCTTTATTTGAGTATCTACTTAGTGAATTCATGCATGATTACATGATTTATTCTATCCCAAACTCTCAAAAGAATTCTTAAATCATTGACCAAAAGCTCCTGAATCATTAGCTTTTTAATTTCCTTCATTCTGCTAATTCTCTCTTTTACTATTTGAATAAACATATCAAAAGCACCTAGTTTTGTAAGTTTTTCTGAAAGCTGAGGGTTAAAAAGGAATTATGGATGCATTAGTATATTAGTTAGCTAATTTTGAATTTTCTTAGACAACTAGTCTGACTTTGTTTTGATTTTTTATTCTTTCATAGTCTATTACTAGACTATCAAAGATTATTTTTTATTCTTTGAAAATTCTTTCTATCTCCTTGTATACTAATCATCATCTTCATCATCCTCATCTTCTTCTTTAATTTCTTCTACTCCCTTACTTAATTTTAGGTCAGATTTCTTTTTTTCTGAAAATGAAGCCATTTTCTATTAAAATGATGCAAATATCTTTAGATCTTGCTCGTATTTCGATTTAGTTTAAACCTTTTTTATTTTTTTGAAATATACAGAAATGAATTCAATCTCATCATTAATTGGATTTGATAAGAACTATTCCATTTCTTCATCTAAATCTTCTAAGTTTTTCTTAATCTTTTTAAAATATATCTAGTAGAACTTAACGCAACAAGCTTTCTTAGCTATTATTCTACACTCCTCATAATATTGATCACTTATTTCTGCTTTAATTTTGATAAACTCTTCATCAAATAAGTATTTTATTAGACTACTAACGTTATATTCAATAGCCTTCTTAAATGCCCATAATAAGCCTTGCTTAATTTTTGGGATCAATTGCAAATAGAAATCTTCCATATCAACCTTTATTTTTATTTCTAACTTCTTATTACCTTGTTTCATTTCCTCTTGAATCTTTTCAATTTAAGGCTAAATAAGTTAGTAAGTGAAATAGCCTATTTTATCATACTTAGATTAGTAAATACTAGTTATTTCAGTTTACCAATACTCAATGAATTGATGGAGTCTTTGCCTGTTGTTTTCATACAAATGGATAGCCTATTAAGTCATATCAAATTTTAGAAGCATCCAAAAAATAAATTCAACGTCATTTACATCATAAAAATGTTCATTTATATAGACTCCAATTAAGTCTTTATTGAGTTTACTGAATTTTTAATCCTCCACATACATCAGATCAAAGATTAGCTTGATGAGATGATTTCGCTTAAATTAAAATTTCTGTTAATATGCTGAACCCCTTTTTAGGATCATTAGTTTTTTGATTTTATCCATATTAAATTTGTTGCTGGTTGTAGACAGCTATGAAGTTTAATCATTATCAGATGCTTATTGTACATCATCTTATTCTTCTTTTACTACTGATTTTTCCTCCTCCTTCCAAATACTATCTGTAGCACTCTTGAAAGCTGTACTCTTATTTATATTTGCAATGCTATAAGAAGGTATTTATAATGAAGCTTAAGATTGAGTTGACTTTCCAAAAGTAGATTTATTTGGTTTGCCACTGTTACCAGGCTAAAGAGTACTATTGTTGACACTAACTGGACCCCCTAATGATTATTGATAATTGGGTTTATAGCTTATCTTATCTAGTTCTGTTTATGAGTTGATAAAATGTCTCTTGATAAATGCATCAAGGATTCGTCCATTTTTCAGAACCCTTTCGCCTGCAAAATCTGATATAAACTCTTTTTCAAGAACCTTCTTTCTAATAAAGTAAGTTAAATTTTTGACTTTTAAATTCAAATTAAAAGGTAGAAGATAAACTTACAGAGCCTTTCTCACCTGGCTATTTTTAATCATTGCTAGAACTTCATCTTCAGTATGAACTAATTGAATTAGTAAATTTTATAATTCTACTTACACTATGTTCTGAGTTTATTAACTTTTTCTTCTATCTACAATTTTAAGTTAATTCACTTGAAAAAATACTTACCTTAGGATCAAGCTAAAGATCTAGTTAATCTGAATCCATGCTTTTATCGTAATCACTGTCAAAATCACTGTAATCCATTTTGGCTTTCATCATTTCAAGAGACTCCTATTTTACTTGAGAATAGTCATATAAAACTGTTTGCTTTTCATCAACGTTCTTATTTTCTTCTGTTTGATCGTATTTAGATATTAAAGTTTTTTTCATAATTCCTTATAGTTTTTAGACTGGCGCTTTATTAAGTTGCCGAATAATATTCTCATTATCAACTGATTAAGCTCTATATCCCCTAGAGGGGATTAAACTCTCCTTTTTAAAATCTCTATTCATATCACCAGAGCTTTTATACTTCTAGCTATCACTTAACCTCTGCTAACTCATTTTAAGAATTAATTAATTATAACGAGATATTGAAATTCGAACTTTAAATATTATAATAATCAAGTACTATTAATTCCGATAATTTGACTTATTATCTCCTATGGGGTTTTGGGGTTTTGGGGT